TATAATCATGCAATCTTAAAGCTTAGTGCTTGTGATCTAAAATAAAATTCCCAAAACAGCAAAATCCTTTCTATAAAAAGCTCATAGTTTTTCCATTGTATACTGAAAACAAAGGGAAAATTTTAGGGAATGGTGCCAGAATATTTTAATCTGTTTTACAGTAGTTGATACTGTGCCAAAATGTGTAGTTGTAATTTATTCATGTCACACCTTTACAAATAAAGAAGATGAGTCATAAATTGGTAGTCTTACAAATATTATCATCTATGGTAATGCCAGGTATGCCTTTCCCATGAAATCAAAGGAAAATATTTTTATATCAGTGGAGCACTTGCTCCTTAAAAGCTTTACTTGCAGATAGAAGTTGAAAATAGTAATATGCTAAAGGATAGGCCAGAGACAATAGAAGATTCATCTGTAGTCAAAATAGATAAACAAAGAGAAAACACCTGCAAGTACATATAGGCACTTGCTTTAGAAGAATCATTTTCATATTGATTGGAGATGCAGTGTGTTATAGTGAAATGAACATCAGCCTGGGAGTATAGGATTTTAGGTTCTAGTTGTTTTAATCACAACTATTTGTCTAACTTTAAGAACATTATTACAACTCTTTGGTCCTAAATTCCCTATCTTTAAAGTAGAGAGGTCACTTGATTTACAAGTTACACTCTTACTATTATATTCTAAGTATTTCATATACTATACTCTGAAATTCCTTCATAGAGTCCTCCATGTCTATGAGCACAGAAATCACTTGCAGTATTTTCTACATATGTTATAGCCTTAGTTTTCTGGGATTAATATTGAACTTTCTTAGATATACAAAAAATCATTTTAGAGATGTCACAGCTCCAAATGGATTCACAGATTCAGTGGTTCTAGACTTCCCTTACAAAACATTGGCTTTCCTCTAGGGGCTTCTGTAATTGAAGATGTTAAGAGTATAAGGGGGGACCCCCCCAAAAAACAGAATTATCTTTTGTAGGGCAAGCCCCTTGTAGTATACTTGGAATTTGGTCCTCCAGATCAAATGGTCAACCAAAGTTTTTATCTGGAAGTTTTGACAAGGTTGTGTCATGATTTGCAGAAGAAACGTCCTGAGTTGTGGCCAACAGGTGACTGGCTCTTCAACCATGACAATGCACCTGCCTGCCCATACCACACTGAGTGCTTAGCAGTTTTTGACCAAAAATAACATGACCCCATGCCCAACCCTCCCTATTCACCCAATCTTGCCCAAGTGTCTTTTTTTTTGTTTCTCTGGGTGAAAGTCCTCAAAGGGGACTGTGGAAGAGGTGAAATAAAAAATGGCAGAAGCACTGAAAGTCATCAAAATTGACAAATTCAAAAACTGTTTTGAGCAGTGGATAAAGCGTCTTGATAGGTGTATTTCATCAAACAGAGAGGACTTTGAAGGTGGCTGTAGTTTGAACATGTAAGAATAAATACACAATTTTTTATAAATACATTCCTTTTTTTGCTCCCCCCTTGTGTTTGAAGAGGCAAAATATTTGCAATTTCATAGAACTGTGAAGGCCTTTCAGTTTCTCCAAAATACTTCCCTACTTAGTGATTAATGAATGAAACTAAACAGTTTAGACATGCTTCTAGCTAAAATAAAAATGAACATAAATGTTTGCTCATTAAAATGAAAATATACTTGGTAAAGAAAAACATTATAAAGTGCAGTGAGAATGAATTTCTAATCCTTTTTCTGGAGATAATTATCTTTCTTTCAGTAAGAGAATTGCAGGTCTTATTTAACTTATGACATTTCAATTTATAGTGATTCACACTTAGAGCACTCTGCTTTTTTATACTCATGTGATTTATTAGGGTGTTTACAATAGGAGCAAGTATGTCAATCAGTTCTATCACAAAACATGTGAATAAGGTGCTATAGGAACATGAAGGAAGGGGATTTAACCCAACTAGGGAAAGGGGGAGGTAGACATCAGAAAAGGCTTCAAAGAAAAGTATCTCCCTAAGCTTGATGTTAAAGAACATATACTAGTTAACCAGGCAGAGAAATAAGATTGTTTTTCCAAGCAAAAGATAGTATAAACAAAGGCTTAGAGGTAAGAGGGAATAAGAGGTGAAAAACAGCATTTCAGGTTTAGGGAGAAGCAAATTTTTTTTTTTTTCAAGTTCCCAACAGCATTCATTTTACTTTAGGTTGCTGTCATGAAAGAAACATGGAGGCACTCTTCTCTGGTCCGGGGAGGACACAGCAATAGTTTATACAGGGTTTACCATTTAGGTAGGGAGAAGCAAATTCTGATGATAAGGAAGTATGAGAAGAAACTGAAAAAATTAGAACTCAGATTATAAATGTCCTTACATGATATGTAAAAGGATTTGAATTGTATCTGAGGTTATGGGAGAACTACTGAAGACTGTAAATAGGGAATGTTAACAACAAATTTGCCATTTGAACAGATTACTTTAGCATTAGGAGGATGGATTGGGAGGATGTTAATTGGGGAAGAGGAGCCTGTTACAATAATCCAGGAAGTTAATAATAAAGAATAGTAGAAGGAATGGAGAATAAGGGATGGATTCCAAAGGATGTAGAAGAAACAAGTATTGCAGAGATAAAGAAAATGGATTCAGTATTTGTCATGTTAAATTTACTAGCGGCAGATAGTTAATACATTTGGTATATGAGTCTGGAGATCAGACAAGATCTGGGAAGTGATACAGATTTAAAAATCAATTTATAAGTGGCATATGACTCCACTGCCATGCATGGGGTCATATAAAGTCAAGGAATTGACAAAGAAAGACACGCCTACAAAATAGTCAATAACGGAGACAAGTATCACATTGTTTACCTATCTCTTCTATACTAGACTATGAGATCCATGGAGCTGGAGTATTATTTTTATTAACATTTGTATATATGGGACTTAAAATAGCACCTGACATTGAATAGATATTTAGTAAGTATTTGTTGAACAAATTGAGTTATGTTTTTATATATGATGTTTTCTAAACATCTGACCAAAGTGCCTAGGAGGTCTAATTATACATACTCTTTTGTTTAAAAAAATCGAATGTGATCCAGCTCAAAGACTGAATGTAAACCTCAGTATTATTTTTCATCATCATGGGTGAAAAACACTTGGCAAAATGTTAACCATCCATGAAAAGTTTGCTCACTTACAAGTGACAACTGATTTGATGAACAAATGAAGGGGAAATAAGCACATGAAGGGGGAAAAAAAATATTTGACAGCATTTTTTCCTAGAGAAAAAATGAAATGGTCATTTCTAACTCTTTTTCTTTTTCTTTAAAACAACTGAAACTTCTGTCTAAATGTGATTTGGAATGCACAGTGAGATTTTTCTAAGGACTGATGTTAAAGAAAACAACACTTAAGTTATAAAAGACCAGGGATGGTTAATTTTTATAACAGGTAAAGTATTATTAATTTTTTTTACAACTTAAGTTTATGTTCATTTTTCTGAAAATGTCTTAGGTTCAGTTGATGTGAATAAATATTTAAAATATTCTGCATTTCATAATAAATAATTTCCTGAAATCACATTTAATTCTTAATTTCCTACTCTAATGAGTTTTCTATCCCTTATTTCCTTTAAAACAAAAACAAAAGGTTTAAAACTAATTTTATATATATATATATATATATATAAAGGAATGTGAGTGAATAGATGTAGAATAAATGCAAATTGTATAAAACAATTTTGTCTAAATGAGGTCAGGGACCAAAGAGCTAAACTCTGACTTCTCATATTTCACCAATTAATTTTAGGTCTTTTAATATAACTTGCAATGTTAGCTACCATTATTTTAAAATATTTTAATGCTGGAAGAAGAGCACTATCATGCAGAAAAAGAAGAATGTAAGTCTTGATACCTAAATCCTATTCTACTTCTGCTGCTCTGAGTCTAAGTTTCCTTGCAGAAAATTTTAGGTGTTTGTGTAAATGCTCTCCAATGTTAATTGCAGTTTGAATATTTTATGGCTATATAAATAAAGTTCTTATTCATAAAATTAATTAGTTTGTATTGTTTCTATTTGCATAACAAAAACAATTTAAATGCTATATTTTATTCAGACTGTACTAAAAACAACTTCTTTTGGTGGGAGGGAGAAATCACAGACTTTATTGGCTGGAAGTTTTCTTCAGGAACCTGGTCTTCTGGAGTTGGTTGACTAAGTACAACTCCTATGCTGAAGTTTTAGAAATGGAAGTTGTTGATTAAAAACAAAATATTGGAGAACACTATCTTTTCTTGTCCTTTGACAAGCTGTTCTCAGCATGCTATCAGACCAAGAGCAACGAGAAGACAAGAAAACTTCATTACAAGACACATTAGTTATCTCTCATTTCTCACAGAAAGGACATCAGATAGACTCAGAGTTAACTATTTCCCTCACTCAGTGCTGATAACCCTCTCTTCAGTTTATAGTACTAGTATTTTGATGACAGCAGAAACCCAGCTAATGTTATTTATTTATTTATTTAAGTTGGAGTCTCACTCAGTCACCCAGACTGGAGTGCAGTGGCACGCTCCCGGCCACTGCAGCCTTGACCTGCTGGGCTCCGGTGATCCTCCCACCTCAGCCTTCCAAGTCGCTGGAACTACAGGCATGCGCTACCGCGCCCAGCTAATTTTTTATTTATTGTAGAAACGAGGTCTCGCCAAGTTGCTGGGTGGGTCTCGAACCCCCGCGGGCTCAGGCAGTCCACTTGCCTTGCCCTCCCAAAGTGCTGGGATTACAGGCTGAGCCACCAAGCCCATCCATTTTATTCCATTTTTTACGAAAAGGAAGTGTTATGGGTGATTCACTCTGTATACTGTTAAGGCTGACCCTGTAGTTAAACAGCAATAAGAAATAAAAAGAATGGTGACGATTGTGATAATAGTTAATAATCTTTCTTTCAGGAAAACTGTGCATTAATGTTATATGCATCTTACTTGGAAAAACATGAAGAAAAGAAAGGACAATGAGCAGATGTAATAATACCTCGGTAATTGATGATTTCTGTCCCAAGCACCGGAGTCATCTCCAGGACTGTGATAAAGGCTTTGTCCATAGATGTCAGAGGAAAAGGAGACATGCGGTGTCGTCTAGCCACCTTGGTGATATCAACAGCACTGTGACCTAAACAGGAAGATAATTAACTGAGAATATGATTCTGAAACACTGATTAAAAAGTGGGAATGACTTATAAATATCAACATCTTCCAATTTCAAATGTATCCAAGTGAAGATTGGCAGGTGAGTAACTGTTTCTCCTGTCTCCAAGATATAGCCTTCTCTGGTGGACCATTAAAACAACTTAGCAGTGTTACATCATGTGTCAAAAGTTGGTGAAATTTAAAGATGATGTTTGCTAATCCTTTTTGAGTGCTTACTATGTATCAAGGCATTGTTCTAAATTAACTCATTAATCTTCACAACAACCTTATGGTGAGGCATCATTTTAACTTTATTTATAGATGAGGAAAAAGAGGTTTAGAGAGATTATATATGTTCCTAAATCACATGATAGTAACAGAAGAGCTAGAACTTAAATCCAGGTAGTTTTGGCTTCAGATTTCATGTCCTTAGACAGTACACTAAACTTTGAATACTTAATGTGCTAGTTAGCAAAATGAAGTTCCTAAATTTTAATTTATTTAGGATACCATAGGAAATTTTCTTTCCTCTGAAAAAGTCACCAAGCAAGTTTATTGTTTAGCTATTCACTCCTTGTGTGACCTCATCAAGTCCCAAAGCATTAATTACACTCATACACTAAAACTGAGAATTTTATATCTCCATTCCCAATCTCTACCCTCAACTCTAGATTTTATCTCATCTAATAGTTAGTAGCTAAAATGTTTCCAGACTTGCAATCATCTAACACACATTTGGATGTGTAACAGGCAATTCAAACCTAGAATGTCCAAAGTTAAACTCTTGATTGCCCACTCTTTGATTTCACCCATACAGTGCCTTATTCTATTGTGTTTATCATCTTAGTAAACAGCAGCTTCATACTTCCAGTTATTAAGCCAAAATCTTGAAGACATTCTTGATTCCTCGCTTATATTATAAAGATCATTTAAATGATCTTTGAAACATATCTAGAATCTGATCATTACACCTACTACGACAGTTGGAACCATCAGTGATTTCCTGGGAAATTGAATAGGCTCCTAATTGGTCTCCCTGCTTCTACTCTTGCCACACTTCAATTTATTCTCCACACAAGTTACAGTGATCCTTTTAAATTGTAAGTTGGGTTATGCTAATCTCTGCTCATAGCTCTCAGATGACATTCCATGTCATTACAGTAAAATCCCTGCTATGGCCTATAATGCCCAACATAATATGGCTCCCACTGTTCTCACCTTCTAACATTTCCCTGTTTACTATGCTCCAGTCATACTGGTTCTCTCCACAGGGTTTTTGTTTTCTCTGCTTGGACCATTCTTCCCGATATTATAGCTTCATCTATTCTTTATTTCTTTCAGGACTCTGCTCAGATATCACAGTGTCCCTCATCATACTTTATTTTCTTCATGAATATTTATATGTAAGTACATACATACAAGTCTATACATATATACGGGTATTTATAACTATATATCTGTAACACATAAATAAAAATATGCATATTTATATTTCGTTGTTTATAGCCACCTTCTTCTCAGTAGAATGTTAGCTCCATGATAGCAACAACTTTGTCTTTTTTGTTCACTGTTGTTATTCTCAATACCCAGAATAGCATCAGGTGCATATATACCAACAAAAAGGAAAGGAAATATTATAGAATTAATAAATACATCATTTAACTACAAAAAAGGACTGCTTGGAGACTATAGCTTCACCATAAAAAACTTAGCCTTGGAACCTTATAAGTTACTCTCCCAGAGAGTAAACAAAAAAGGAGTAGCTGCAAACACAGGTGCTTGGCTGTCCTGACTGCTATCTATACTTCCCTTCTTCCTCAACTACTTGGCAGCTAGGACTGGCCCTATGGTATAATCCTGGCCAGGAGATGTAGGAAAAAGTTCCTGGGGGCAGGCCTCCTATTACAAATAAAAATATAAAAAGGTAAAGCTTTAAGAGGAACAAGCTTCTGCCCTTCTACATTCTTTGTACCTGAAACACAGTTGGATATTGGGAGGTGCTGTGACCAATTTTCAACCACAGGGATACAAGCCCACATAGTAAGTAGGGAAACCTAAGAAAGAGTCTGAGTCCTCGATGGCACTGTTAGAGTTGCTGCACCCTGGAGTATGCCTCCAAAGTTTCTGCATGTGAGATAAATAAGCTCCCTTCTCTTCAAACCACTTTATAATAATTATATATACCCTTCTGAGGATTGTGAGTTTTTGGTCATTCATCTTGTTAAATTTAGCACATTTACCCCAACCCTAGTAGCTGCTCCAGACATGTTCAATGGATTGAATTAAAGGCATCACTGCAAAAAGATTTTCATTCTAAGACTAAGGACATTGTCATAAGTACTCAGATAAAAAGATACATAAAATTGCTGATACTTTTAATGTGACATTTCTCCTCATGGACAATCAAAATTACAAAATTTTCAAAAGACCTTAGAGATTATTCAGTGCTAAGTTAGAACAACATTTTTTTTTCAAAATTGTAAGTGAATACTTATAAAAGGATTAAGAGTGATTTATCATTCCCTTACAATTGAAATATAATTTTATTTATAGCTCACTTTCCCCGAGATTCTGACTTAGTCATTCAAATATCATAAAAACACACTGTCACAACCAGTGTAACTGGAGAGAATGACAGAGATAGCTGCTACAGCTTTTTATTCAGCTTTATAGGTCTCTGATCTGATCTTTGCTATGATATGCTGTACTTTTTTTATGGTACAAATTGTGTATAATCTTATAAAGTGTGTCCTTATAAAAGATGTTTAGTTTCTGAGAAGAAAAGTCTACTTTTTAATTGTATAGGGTTTATCTGTCAAATATGCTTTGTAAAAGAAGTTTTCTTAATAAACAGCAAGTCTGATTATCAGTGATATACACAACTATTCAGTAAATATTTCTCAAGTGCATTTTATGCACCAAGCACAGTTAGGGACACAGGACACTGAAAGCAACATATACTGTGCCATAAAGAATACTGCAGCCCAGCAGAAAAGAAAGATGTATAAAAAAATAAAAATAAGAGCAAGAGGGTAGTAAACCACTTGATGATTCTCTAAGTTGTAGAGATTGGTAGTTCTTTTGTTGTTGTTGCTGTTGTTAAGAAATTGCAGTGTGGGTATCTAACAGGTAGGAATAATCTCTTTCATCTCTGAAATAATTTTATAACTTGTTTATACTTCTGGTACCTGTCACTCCCCATCTTATGCTTTGGATATTTAAATATTTGCCTTACTTCTGTTAGTCTATTGCAAACTCATTAAAAGCAGAGCCTGTATCTTATTAATGTTTATATTCTTTGCCACTTGTAAAACAGTGTCTTTCTTATATTTATAGTAGATTCTCAATAAAAACTTGAGGTAGTCAATGAATGGCAAAACCTTTTAAACAAAGTCCAAAGGTGGGAAGCAAAGAGCAAAGTGGGGTCTTTTTGTTCTGTCATTTTCCTTCTCTAAGCCTTTGAATACTTATAAAGTCTTTGTTACAAACTGATTACCTCACTGGATAATTCACACTTTAAAAACAGACCTGTAGTACGAACATTCTATTTTATTTTAAAATTTATTTTTAATTGACAAATACTAATTGTATTTATTTATGGTGTACATGATTTTTGAGATGTGTATACACTGTGGAGTGACTAAATTGAACAAATTAACATACTTTGATGTTAAAGGGTTAATACTGGTCCCTGGCTAAGCTATTTGCATGTTAACATAATGGCCTTTGGATATGTAATAAATAGACTGACAGGAATGTTTCGAAGGAGAAGTCTTTTAATTCTCTGCATATTAGGTAGGTCGTGTGTGTGTGTGTGTGTGTGTGTGTGTGATTTGGGAATGTGTGCTTTCAACAAATATTTAGTGAATACCTTTTATGCACAAAAGTTTCTTCCTGCTCACAACCAATCCTAAACCACAGTACTGTTAGCTACCAATAAAGGATTAACTTGATCCTGTAACTGTGAAAGAGCATTTGTCACTTATTTTCTCCACACAAAAATTTAAATGAATGAAACAGACAACAGCTGCTCTTTTTCCATAAAAGGAGCAACGAAATAATATCATTAACACATCCAGTTCTCTTGCATCCTTTACTACATGCAGGATGATTGTGTGCCCATAAAAGATTCCATTTAACAGGCCGGGCTTGGTGGTTCAACCTGTAATTGCAGCATTTTGGGAGGCCAAGACGAGTGGACTGCCTGAGCCTGCAGGTTCGAAACCAGCCCAGGCAACTTGGCGAGACCTCATCTCTACAATAAATTAAAAAAAAAAAATTAGCTGGGCGTGGTAGTGTGCAACTGTAGTTTTGGCTATGTGGAAGGCTGAGGTGGAAGGATCGCCTGAGCCCACCAGGTCGAGGCTGCGGTGGCCATGAGTGTGCCATGGCACTCTAGCCTGGGCGACAGAATGAGACTCCAACTCAAAAAAAAAAAAAAAAAAGATTCCTTTTAACCAAAGACTGCAGCTGAAATTATTTTGAAAACCATTCATCTAGGTGATCCAGTGTTCCCTTCTTCAAATAAAAATTGAACAAACAATACTCCATGGACAGTCCCAGGGACACACTCAGGGAGGTATAAGCAGACAGAGGTCCAGGCTAAGAATGCACAGCGCTCAGATATACAGCACAAGGGTTCTCACAGAGACCTATCAGAGGCTTTCCAGGGCTGGCACAGGGCAGCCCACTTTCGGAAGTCATAGTTCTAAAATAAATCTAGTAAATAGTTATATTTCCTTTTTTGTTTCCATTTTTAAAAGAAATACAATTTCAACTATTTTCTGATGTTGACACCAGTGATTTACAAGGAGTTTCAAAATGAAAGCTTCAGAAAACTTAAGAATAGTTGTCTTTGACTTCTCTTATTTTTTAAGTTACAAACCTAAAGCACTCCTGTTTTGGGTCATTAGAAAACTCAGTCACCAGAAAGAAGGATAAAAAATGTCTCCCCTCACCTCCTAATCCTCTTCTTGATTCTGA